TTGTCTGTCTTATTTGACATTCTGGCCCCATCATCCCACTCTGTGTGCTTGTTTACCTTTACGGTTGTGTGCGTGTTTTGCAATTCTCACCTTTCCTAGTTTCCTGGTTTTTATTTGCATGTTGTCAAGCAAAATGTCTGAGGTGTTAAAGTTTCAGTTGCGCTGACGTTCTCTTTGCTCTGCTCGTAGATCCGATGTTTGCGAGGGCATCAGGGCTTACCAAACCAACACACTTTTGATGGGATTCATATAGTCAATCACTATGGTGGAGACAATGAATCCTACCAGTCCTCTGATGAAGATGGAGTGAAGCTGTCACCCCACCTGACCACTCATCAGGATAGAGGCCGGATCACACTACATCCAAACCTGGAGGACTCCGAAAGTGAGGGTGATGAGGAAGGAGATGCCCTACGACTTACCGTGCCCTCAAATGTCAGCCATAAGACAACAACAGTGTGAAACTGTGAAGGCCTGAACGGAGGGAGAGCTTGTCCATGAGCTCGTCCTTTCAATGTGAACATGGGACTTGAACTTGAAAAGCCATCGTTCATCTTTACTAATGGAATCGTATCTCTTAAGGTCATGGTTTACATCTGCATTTGTTTTGTTTTTGCCAAAATACATCAGATGTCTGTCCTGGCAGTAGTTTTTAATTTTAGCCGCGATAAAGAGGGCAAATGTGTCTGTCTGTTAAGGCACTTTGAGATCCTTCCAATTAAGCAGAAGTCATCATTTTTGTGGCAGGATATTCCCAGAACTTTAAAAGGGGGTGTTTTTAATACTCCAAGGTTTTTTTTCATATGAAGAGAAGCAACTTGGTATAGCCTATAGTGTTTTAAGCATTAAGATTTTGCATCGTTATAGATTTTATTTTTTAAATCATCTTTTTTTTTTTTTTTTTTTCATACACACATTGAGAGACCAGAGAGCGCATAACTTTTAGGGAAACATATTAAAGAAAGCAACACTATCATCTTTAAATTGTTTCATTAATAGCACGGTGTCATATCTTACGTTAGCAGGCCTTTTTTTCTGGCATGAATTGTTATTGGTCATGAATTGTGAGTCATTGAACCAGCGTCTATGTAAATATGTATATGTTTAGATTATTTGCCCATCTCCATTATTACTTGAACATGTGTAATCAATGGATATCATGTCTATATTGTAACACATTGTATAGTTAAGTTGAAAGGGATGTATTACTGAATTTGGGAGGATTTGGAGGAAACAACTTTTCTTTAATGTACTGTAGCTTTGCTGTAGTCAAGTTCTCCATTTCACAGACTGGAGATTTGTTTTTGTGCCTGGAAAGATTCTACAAAATTCTTGCTGATTTTCAATATTTTCTACAATATGTGGTATGCTGTGCATGTTATATATCAAGAATATCTCCAAACTGATGGAAGTGGAGGCAGAGAGGTGTGTTCATCAGAACAGTGTTCTCATTTCTCTGGCCTTTTCTGGTCCGTTTTTCTTTTTACATCTTTATTTGTACCAGCTTGCTTCTGAATCAGTTTGCACTTTGCACAGATGACATGCATATGGCTTCACAATAATGAACAATATTATGTTTCGCTGTTTACAGCGATATATTTAATTTAGCTTCACCCTCCATTTTTTTTTGTTCTTTTTTGGTTAGTTTTTGTGAGCCAGTGGTTCTCAAAGTATGAAGTGATTTCATTTCATACTGCTATTTAGACACCTGAGTGTAAGCCTTAAACCTATCATGGTGGATGCAAATTTGGTGCACTGTTTGCCCATCGTTTAAAAACGGCCTGTCCACCTACAAAACAAAGACTTTTGCGAAAGGAATTGCAAAAGACAAAACACTAAGTGATTAAAGCGTTATTTATTTACTTTAGAAAGATCGAGTGTTTTACAGTGAATTCCTGTGGAATGTTCCTGTGGGCATTTGAGGCTTTACAGACAGTTGACAATACAATAAAAGTGTCTTTAAGACGATGGACATGTTGATTCAGAACACAATAAAATATCATTTGATAGTGGCCAACGACTGTCATGTTTTGTACGTTTGTTCCACGCAACAGCTAAATAAAACTGATTGATCAAAACTGAATTCATCTTTTTGCTTTTTTTTTTTTACATTAAAAATGTATCATTCACTTGATAGTAACTGTAATCAATTAATTAATAGTAATTAATTAAAACGCGCACTAATCTTTGAGCTAGTTATTTTATTATTTCAATCATCATCATTATTTATTTTTTACATTTTGACTAACGCAATTTTACAAAACTGTAATAAAAAGCTTCTTAAGGAAAAGCCCTTCTAACATCAGATTGCTATTGACAAGTAGCATTTTCAGGAAGTTTTTTTTTATGTGTGCGCGCGCCTATTCTCGCGCTCAGACTAGCACAAGATGAAATGAGATGTTATGGGCTCTGCGCTCTTTGAATTCAACCGAAACACCGCGACTGCACTAAAATCATCTTAACTCGTATTGTTTTCTGGTGAGTACCGTAATTTCAGTCGGCTTATGAGCCCTCGTTAAATTTAAAGTCATTTGGTGTAAACCGTAATTCTAAAATCTGAGTTTCGCTAAGCACAATCACAGTTCGCTTGTCTCCAGTTGAGCATGACGTTTCATGTACTTAGACATATAACCTCATTATATCATTTATCTTTCCATTGTGCCAGTGCAATTTGTAAATGTTTTTTTTTTGCAACTCTTGTTTTTTTCTTTGATGCCATTTAATAATTTGTCAACTATATATATTTACGAAAATTTGAGAAGAACATTGCGGCATTAATATCTTGGGATGGCTATAACATGTTTGGAAAAGGTAGCCTATAGCCAATTAATTGTTTCAAAGCCTATGTAATTATTCTAATCCCATGTAGTGGAATAAAACCACAGAAAACACAGCTACAGAAAAAAGGAAGCAGTAAGACGGTCGGAATTGGTATTGTTGTTTTTATTCACATTTGCTTATATTGTTCTGAGAGTTACCCTGTCTATAATGATACACAACATTCTTCTGTGGAAACGACGTTTTAATTTTGTTATTGAAATTAGGCTACTCATTTCGCTTTCAGCTTTTAAGTAAATATTCTGCAATGCATTATACATGTCTATCTCGTTGCGGAAGGGTTAATATGCTGTAACTGCATATGTCTAGTAATCAGTCTCAAAGTAAATGTGAGATAATGTTGTAAAATCAGTAAAGATTTTTTCCTAGTGCCCTTCATTATCTCTGTCCTACTGTATCTGCCGGATGCCCTGATGTGGTGTCTAATCGAAGGGGGCACATTGCGCTTTGATTTCCTGCGCTTCTCTTTTGGCCAGTAGCCTACTGATGGATCCTGCACTTTGCGATTGCATGCATCAGTTTATCAGATATTCTGTATCGTGCTAATTTTTATAAAGCTATACAAACTACAACTACAAATAAATCAAACATCTACACCCGTAAAAAAAGAATTGAAAACTTGAAGCGGTAACTCATAAACTTATAGCCTTTTTTTTTTTTTGCTTTTTCTTTCTCAATGATAGCTAGACGCTAATGCGCTCGATGTGAGTGAAGTGAAGCGATTAATTTGAGACTGGCTGAGTGGCTGTCACGAGTCAAAGACAGGTGAGGCTAGACTGATGGACTGCGTGGCTCTACGGGCTTCCACTGATTGTCTGGCGCACGAGCTGAATGCGTGTCCCTGTTGTGTCCACGACAGATCACCAGCGTCCTCGGAACAAGGCGGCTCTGTTCAGTAAGAAGCCACGAAACTCGAGAACACCGTGACCCGCTGTCGTGTGGACAGCTTTATTTCAAGGCTACAAAAATAAGTTTTAGCCTGCTTTGATAATTTTTATTAATGAACAAACTAATGAAACAAGTCAATTAAATGTGTAGCCTGCATGCAAACATCTTGCTGATAATGTAGATAACTGTAGACCGAGTGCCATTTAAAAAAAACAGCTCCATTCTAAAAAAGTAATTAATTCTGAATGATTGATATTTAATTCAGTTACTATAATGTAAAAATAATCTCACTATTTGTCACTACAGTAAATTTTCATATTATTAATTTGTGCTTTTTGTTGTTTTTATTATTCTGTAATCTTTTTAAATGTAAAAAACTATATATGTTTTTAAATAAGAAAATAATTTTAACTGCTAGAATCAAGCTATTTAAACGTTGTTAACACATATTTCTTTGAATGCTGTAACAGTTGACATTTGCTATTAATTATTGTAGACAGAATAGTGGCCTATGAGGGCGTGATGACGCTTGAGCCGACGCATTAGGCTACCTGAAACAAATCTCTCCTTCTCTCTTTTTTCCCCATTTGTGTGTGTGTGTGGGGGGGATATATAATATTTAAAAACATTTTATAAGGTAATCTAGTATTTTATAAATATAGATAAAGCCTAATAACACAAAATTAACTTTTGTGGTTGACCAATCAATTACGTGTAAATATTTTAAGTAAAAGGTAACATTTTGTTACATAAACACTTCTTAAATTGAAATAAAACGCATTATTATGCTCCTATCAAACAAAAAAGTGAAAGTACACACAAAACGTTTTCAGTTCTTAAATCAAAAAGTTACGAATTGTCGTGAGATAGCGTTGGCAAATCATTGGACGGAGAATGCATATGGGTTGCCGTCTCCGCGTTTCCTTTCCCCCTGCAGCTAAGGATTGAGTAACACGTTGATAAAACAGTGTATCACTTATCCTGATAGCCGTAGTTCCCCCCGGACCTGTCTGTCCTCTCGCAGAGGGGCGGACCAATCACAGGCCCAAGGCTTGCTAGTTGTTCCTTTAAAGCACCTGTCTTCATAACACCTGGCAGACGAGAGAACTGCTTTACGCATGCTCCCACTCTGTCATATCCTATACAGACGCGCTGCCCTTCAACCAATGGTCTTCAAATCTTTTCAGAGATAAAAAAGCCGCTGCGTCCGTGGAGCTGACAGACTGTCCGATTCTCACTAATGACTGGGGACATATGAGGCAGAGGAGGACACAATGCCTAGGTCTTTCTTGGTGAAGAGCAAAAAAGCGCACAGCTACCACCAGCCGCGATCTTTGGAGGATGACTTCAACAGACTTGATAATATTTTGGCTCATATATGTGCAGGTATGTCTAAATTAAATTGAATCACTGAGTACTGGTGTAGATAACTATGACAAAGCAAAGTGTAATCTACTGCAATTGCCAACCTGATTTTTTTTATTAAAAATAAAAATAATATTTTTTTATTGGCTAAATATTGTTTTCTTCTTAAAAGACAGTGAGCTGTTTTTTAATAAAACCCGAACTAAACTATAAACGCATTTAAAGAGGGGAAAACTCAATTGTAGATTTGCGTTTGGGTATGTACAGTTGTTGAGAGATTGCGCATTATACAGCTGTGGTTTTGACGAAAAAATAAATATCTCATAACAGAAAGTAAAACTTCAGACGAGTCGGAGTGCTGTGCGGATGCTCTGACAGGCGACACGACTGGCGCTGGTTCACCAGACTCTCACCTTCTGGATCAAGCTGATCTTTCCTCCAAGTCTCCTCTCAGCTGTGAGGAAAGCGTGTGCGATCGCTCGTCAGATTACGAGGACTTTTGGCGACCACCATCACCATCAGCATCACCGGGTACGGGTAGCTATATATATATTTTTTAATTATAAATAATTTTACATACAGATTTCCATAAAGGCTACCTGTCAATTTTTTTATGATTTAGTTTCTAACCACAAATCATTTACCTGAAGGTATATATTTTAGCCTATATTTATATAATTGGTTTTTTTTCTCCTTATAAGAAAAACTACACGTCCTTTTTACTTTACATTTGTTTTTTTTTTTGTTTTTTTGGTTGTGTATTTGAATTTTCTTCGTGCATGCAGAGGGGAAAATTAGGCCTTTATCTTTCAGCTGAACTATGCATTTGCATGTCAAACACTTCTTGCTCCGTCCACGCAGCAGCTACAGATGTGGGTCCCTAAATGTGCAGAGTTGAAAAGACATAAGCCTATTTAACTAGGCTATAATAATCCGCTGCGTAAAACATAGGACATAATAATTGGCAGTTCATTCCGCTGTGGCGACTCCTGATTAATTCCAATAGTATTTAAGCCGACGGTTGGTAAGTGGATAATAGGCTTTTATGACCTGTTTCAGGGGTAAGTCAGGTGACATTCATGGTCGTCATTTTACATTATGCTATAAATGTTTGGCAAACAAACAGAACAAAAAACGTCCTTACTTGGGGAACGCGGGGATCAAGCCTTGCGGGTCACAGACAGCGCCTCTCCAATTAATCTTGGGCACGCTTCATTAAATTTGTATCATTATCAGACACAATTTACCAACAGAATTATTCAATAGTCCAACAACAAATGCAAATTCATATAACTTTTGTATCTCCCCTATTTTAATCTTAAAATATTTTGGCACAAAACAACATTAATAAACGTAAACAGACCCCACTTAAAACCGAATAATAAACATTAAACTGTCGAATATTTTCTTTTTTTTTTTCCAGAGTCGGAAAAGTCTTTTTCACCCTCCGTGGAAGAAACACAGCCCTTCGCTGTACCCTTCAGGCCTTACGCTTGGAGCAGGTACTCGGGGTGTGAAATCAGGCAGCTGGTCCAACATACCCTCAACCATCACCGCTCTCTGGATCTCGAGCGGCCTACTCCAACCTATTACAATGAGCGCGTGACCGAGCCCTCTATTTTCACCGAACGAGGATCTGGCGCAAGAATTTACAACAGCTATGGCTCCACTGCCTCTTTGTTCGAGCGCGCCACTGCTTCTGGACTCTTTGATGATAGCAGCATGTTGGGAAAAGGAACTGAGATGAAGTCCAGCTCTGATGTGATCTGCAGTCGTCTCCTGTTAAATGGCGCATACAAATGTATAAAATGCAGCAAGGTACTATAGCCTAACTAGTACAAAGAGTATACGTTCAGTTTTTTTTAAATCAAGATGAGAAATTGTTTATTGAAGACTGTCCTCTCTTTACTCCACAGGTGTTTTCTACACCCCATGGCTTGGAAGTTCACGTCCGGAGGTCGCATAGTGGAACAAGACCGTTCGCTTGCGACATTTGCGGGAAAACGTTCGGACACGCGGTCAGCCTGGAGCAACACAGAGCTGTTCACTCACAGGTAGAGTGCTCAATTTTTTATTTAGGCCAGTGATAAAAAAAAAATGTCATCACAGATTATCCGATTTGCAGATGTGAAAAACGAATGCGTAAAACATTTTTTTCGCCCTACAGGAGAGAAGTTTTGATTGTAAAATCTGCGGGAAAAGCTTTAAAAGGTCTTCCACCCTGTCCACTCATCTCCTTATACACTCCGACACACGGCCCTACCCGTGCCAATACTGCGGGAAGAGGTTTCACCAGAAATCAGATATGAAGAAACACACATTTATCCACACAGGTAAAAGAAATAAACTGAACAGAATACACTTGAAACATTGTACAGAAGATTGTTTCCGCAACGGAATAAAAAGGGTTGTGACAAAACTACGACTATCATATGTTGAGTTTTTCACATTTCAAATCTTTTTTTAATCAGAATTGCCACTCTGTATCTTTAAAACCCCCAAACTTAAGCTTTGTTTAACTCAGTGACACACACACACACACACGCACGCACACACACACACACACACACACACACACACAACGACTGAGACAACGATAAACACGAATAGGCCTAAAATAAGTAGGCCTAGTCTAAATAAACTCTCAATTTCGGATTCACTTAAAACTAAAACTCTTTATTGGCATGAAACTCATAAAAAAATAATTTACATCTATGAGCATTTTTCAATCAATAAATGAAAATGGTTAAATTAATTATTTACTCTAAGTGGGCAAATGTTCTTTTGAGAACTGTTTACTTTAAACTTCTTAGCAGAAGCAACGTTTATTTTCGTTGAGAAATGGTTATTTTGTAACGTTTATTTTATCTCGTAAATATTAATATTTTTTGGTTTATAAAAATGTCGCAGTTGAGAGGAAAAAACACTGCGATTTGAACACAATTTAGGTTTAAGTCAGAATTCAGTATCAACAAGTTTTCCCTTAATTGTAAAAAAGTGAGATCACAATCACAATTGAAGTCTCAATTAACTTTTTATTCCCGGGCGGAGCAGGCTTTCTATCTTTTTTCTCTAGCCTATAAGAACTCTGGTTTTAGAAGTTGACGTATGCATTCTCTCTCCAGGGGAGAAGCCACACAAATGTCAGGTGTGTGGAAAAGCATTCAGTCAGAGCTCCAATCTGATAACGCACAGTCGGAAACACACTGGATTCAAACCGTTTGGATGTGACCTTTGTGGAAAAGGATTCCAGCGCAAGGTTGATTTAAGAAGACATAAGGAAACACAGCACGGACTGAAGTGAGGAAACATGCGTCCACGAGATTCAGACTTTACCAAACACTATTGGACAAAGACTTTAAGACAAAAGCTCATTCATAAAACATAAAAAAATCAGTGTTTTAGAGTAGGTGCCTAATAGCGTTTACATTAGGTGTAGAAGCTGTTTATGCTTTTGAGATTTGCCTACTAGTCAGCAACAGGCCAGCAGGTCTGGCAGCTTTCATGTTATACAGGGTATCACAGGTATCTTGATGCACATCAATAGCCCGCTGAAAGACATTGTGTCTGAACCCAAAATATTATCACCAAAATAATCAGGGACGAAATATAACCGCCGCGAGAAAGGACACAGTATCACCCAAAATATCAGCTGAAGGAGAGAAAAATCACCGCATCTCAAAAGAATGTCACTTTGTTTTTAACGCTGCAAAAGTTATATGCTGGCAAAACAAGCACTACAATAGACTGCGAGATTTCATCAATAAAAGGACTGTTTGTGTACTATAGCCCAACTTTAGCGATTTAGCTTGACAAACCATTTCCATTGTGTATACCATTTTCAAGAAAATACTTTGATCAATTGTTTTTGATAGTATTTACATTATTTATTGAAATAAAGAGTATGAAGATTTACTTCGAGTGTGCTTTGTTTTCTTTATGTTAGCTTGTAGGCCTATATAATTTCATACAGATTAAAAAAATCTCTGTATACGTGCGCATCGAATAACGTCCGCCATGATTGTAATTTAAGCATGGAATTATTTAAGTATTATTTAATTGTTAATAAAGTGTTCTCTATTTGTTTAAAATATATATTTTAAAAATGCTCTTTTTTTGTTGTAGTTTATTTTTTTACAATAGAGGTGTGGAAAAGTTCACATGTGCCTCGCGACAAGTGTATTCGCCAAATCTGTGATTATTATTATACATTAAAACACCTAGGCTATAAGTGGTAATAACAAATTAGTCAACGCTATAGTCTAAGTGAAATGAAAGAACTGCGCCTGAAAAAAATAAAAACGATCTTTACAGTACTAAATTTAATCTCACTAATATTGTAAATGAAAAACACAAAATAATTTTAATAGCATAATAATAATAATAATAATAATAATTTTACTTTGTTTTACTCATAGAAGATGACCAAAATCTTTTTTTTATTTGAAGATCATAATATTTACATGTTTTAAAGTCGAATTCAATTATTTATTTGCTAGCTTAAAAACGCGTACATTAATTTTAAAATGATCTAAAGAAATTATTTTTATAGCATAGTCATATAAACTCTTAATCACCGATATTCAGTTATACTTAAGAAATCATAATGCAGGTGTCGTCAAATCAAACGGCTAGTTCTCTTTTAGTTATCTTACCATGAAAAAAAATAATTATCCCCTTCTATTTACACTCTAAACATTTTTGGATTTCCCCTGTTAACAAAACTGAGTGTAAATAAAGGTAGTTTGTTCAGCAAAAACAGTTTACTCTATACTCGCGGTCAGTGCATTCCTTGCGCCTTAATGGTCCCGGAATAACATCAAAATATCTGGACTGGCAAAGTAAAGTAAATAATGTACAGTTTAAATCTTGTTTTATTTGTTCGATAGCAAATAGTTGCGGTAGCCATGCAGAAAAGGTGATTTACTGTTTTTTAAAAGTGAACAAGATTTTTCGAAATCATATTATTTTGCTTCACTGTTATACGCCACAACGTTTTGTGAGGGAATCAAAAAATAGTCTACTGAGCACTATTCGCAACATTGATTGAAATCACTGACTTTTTATGGCTCAAATCTTACAGCTTTTATGCCCTTGAAAATCCTGAATATTTTAAAACCCCGAAGATTTGACTGAGAGGAACATGAAAATGCATATTTATTCTTGAGAAAAAAAGAGATAAGCACACAGCTGTGGGATTTACATGTCTTGCTGCTGTGGGGAAAATTGAAGCCACCTAAGGAATTAGGACAGCATTTGGTATGGAATCAGCTTCTTTTTAAAACTTTATCACCAGCTGTTTGTTAACACCCTCAATTGTAAATGAACAGCAACATTTTAGTCACATTTGACATAATTTAAAATGCAGAATTAGTTACTTCCCTGTTAGGGAACTTTAGAGTGATGTGTGGGTGTACTCCAGAGTGCTGCAGGGACTGTGATGCCTCTACGCAGGTCAGTATCTACCACAAATGTTTCAATCCTCTGCAGTTCACTCAGAGGGAAAGTGCAAGCTTCAAGTGGACCATTAGGCCAGACCAGATTTCAGTGAGGGTTTTAAAACCGATGCCCCACAGCCTCCAGGCATATCAAATATGAATAGAAGAAGTCCTGGAAAGAGCCCAATCAATTTCAGTGGGCAAGTAATCAGAGCACTTCATTCTTTGGATAATACACACACATACACACACACACACACAAACACACACACACGCACACACACACAACTAATCAAAAGCTGCAATAATCTTTCGCTGGTAAATAGACACAAATGTCTAAAGATTTATACATGTAAATACGGTGTGGTGCAAATACATGGCTATTTTATGGCTAGGGTTATATAAAATTAATTGAAGTTCCACATAAAATATGAAGGATATCTCACGTTTTAGATAAAAGGCACAGTTTTTTAATTCAAATAGATTGTTCACCCCAAAATTAAAATTTTGTAGTTTTTTTCCACTTGTCACAAATCTTTTTAAATTTTTTGTTAACCATCAGTAACAATTGACTTTCATAGTGTTTGTTTTTCTTTATGGAAGTCAATGGTTACAGATTTTCACTTTCTTCAATATAGCTTCTTTAGTATTCAACAAAAGAAAGACCTCATAAAGGTTTGGAACCATATGTGGGAGAAAAAAATACTGATTCAATTTTCATTTTAGGGTGAACTATCTCTTTAAGAATAAGCCTCAACAATAAAATAGTTTTTTTTTTTATTGAATTCTTTTGTTTATATGTAACAAAAAACAAAGTATATATCACAAAAACTTTTAAAGTGAAAGTATAACATAAACATTAAGATTTATTAGAAAGGAAAATAATCACTTGTGTATAAATCTCAATGGATTTATAGAGACATAAAAAATGAATGGACAAATAAACAAACAAATTAATTTGAAAAAATAGTACATCAAGTGCTCTTAAAACACTTTTAATGATTTTTATGCAATCTTTGCATTGAAGCATAATATATTGCCAGTGCACTCTTTTTGGCTAATAAAAATGTCTGATTTAAAAATTTAAACCTAAAAGTCTTCATCTGAAGGCTTACATACTGTTTAGTAAATCTACAGAAATTTTAAATAAACTAGGATTGGTATTGGTGTACGTGGTTTAAAAATGGACAGAAGTTTCATGCAAGTGCTTATTCTCGGTATGTATTGATAGCCTGTAAAATTAGCAAAGCAATGCACCAAGAAAGTTGAACAGAGGTGAAAAGAAACGCAGGGAGTCTGGACCTCAGTGATGAGATAGCAGTGGAAGGTCTCACAGAGACAGGGCTCAGATACTGTGTTCTTTTGTTGTGGCGCTTTATTCATTATTTACTTGATCTGAAAAATAGACTGCAAGACAACTGCACAGCTGTCATCAGGCAGTAGGTTGGAGATACAAATTATTCATGATTTTAGATAGAAAGGTAGATGGAATAGAGAGAGAGAAAGAGAGAGAGAGAGAGAAAAAGAACAGGCAATTTGTTTTGCACAAATGACCGACCCTCACACACTATCTGTGTGAAGAACAATTTGGACAGTGTTTTGTGAATTATTCTTGATGGAAAAATAAGTAACCTGACTATAAATTTCAATGGAATAAATAACTTTTTTTTATTTAATTCTGCATGTTAATTATATTAAACTAAAAAAATAAGTTAACAAAATATATTTTTAAAATGTTTACACTAAATAAACATTATGATATTATGATAAAAAAGACACCCTGAAGTGGCAGAATAATCAACAAACAGGCTTTAGCATTAAAAGTATAAGGTTAAAATAATTATGCACTTGCAAAAACAAACATAATGAAGCTTTCCTGTTAATTAATTACCAAATAGACGGTGAATTATTTCTTCAGGAGAACAGTAAAGATACTCTTCTGAAACCACCATGGTTTTTGGTGATTTTTATATTGTAATTAAATGGCAAAGTGCCAGCTCACATAGGAGTTTGCATCCGCACATCGAAACCACAAGTTTCTATGTAAAATTTTTGTCAAAATTGAGTTAACATATTCTTATTAAATGACAACTTATTTACATTATGGGATGTTTTTTTTTAAGTCGTTTACATTTTAAGTTTAAGTAAAGTTTGTAATTCCAAGGTGACGACAAGTCAAATGCAGCAAAAAGTTGACACTGCAGGTCATGGAAAGATCTGGACAGTTTTCGGATATTAGATCATTTACTAAGAATAAAACCGAGCCACTGATTTGCCCTAAACTCCGCATTAGGTTACAGTGTGTGTGAGGTCATGAGGGTGCATTGTCTGTCTTCTCCTATTCATCCTATTTCAGCTTGACATGACACCTCAGCATAGACTCTGGGGAAATAGGAAGCATTTTTCCAGTCTGTTCTGGGATGTCCCAGCTGAGCCTGAGTACCATGCTTTTACTGCCCAATGCCACACACTTTTGTTTAGAAGTCCTTGTTGTTTTCAGGACTGTTTAACAAGGTAAGTCTCCAGAGTCCCGGCACGCTCTAAAGTCGTTCCCTCTGAAGAGTCCGTTGGGGTGTATGTGAGTGTGTGTGTAACAGTGAAAAGCGATGCATGGGGGGGTTCAAGTAAAAATGGGTAAAGACTAGTGGTGACTGACACAATTGGGAGACATTAGAGCTGGGTGAACGGCCAAATGTGAGCTGACGTTTTCCTTCAGGTTAAAGCCCTGAAAGCTTTTCCATTAGTTATCTCGCAGAGGGGCTCACCAACCCCTGCACAGCACGCATTCGGGTTGGAGAGCCCCCACCATCTCCTGAAAGGTGGGTGCAGTAGTTTGCTGCTCATTTAAAGACATGTTTATCCGCTT